GATTTGTGTATTTTGTCTTCTAAATTCCCTTGTGGGAATTATGATCCCAGATGAAACCACGTGCTTCTTTTGATCCTGGACAAGATTATCAAATTTGGTTAGGGTCTTGTACCTTTATTTTCAAAATGGGCACAGATTTGCTGAGAGAATGAAGCCACCATAATTCCATAGTTTTGAGCAAGTAACAATAAACTTTACAATGCGTTAGCACAGTAATACAATCTGTGATGCATATGCAGTTTATTTCTAACACCCAGAATTAACACGGGAATACTGCACAACAAATAGAAACTTCCACAGATTTCTCAGCAATTCCAACTTATAAATTAATGACACAGTGGGCATGAAATCACATGAATCTTCACTTTGTGGATCTGGTCTTGAAACGTCCTCTCAAGAGCCTCTCCGCTATGGTCTGCCTCAATGACTGTTCCTATTCTGGTCAGCCAGCCTTCTTTCCTGGCTTGACACTTCCCTGGAGTCCAAAACTGTGCTCCAGTCCTCACTCTCAAGCATAACTTGAGTTTCTCAGTGATAGCTAGCTTCACTGAGCTAGAACTGCCTCAGGAATTTTTTTTTCCCTGACCTTGAGGCTCGCTGAGCTGTGTCAAATAAACGCCGCTTATGAGTTTTTCAACCCCATTCCCTCAGTTGCACTGAAGTCTTAACATCCACAGGCCTTTTCTGGTACCCTCACAGCTTCCCCCAACACAGAACCAGCGACCTTCTCAGCTTCCTAAGGTAACTTTCCAGCGACACAGCTAACTTCCACACTCCTAAAATAGAGTTTGTCTCTTTCTCGCACTAGACTGTCATCTTGAAACCGCCTTTTAATGACCCTGGAGCTGTCCTAAGTGATCTGTTAAAAACCTTGCAGTAAGCCCAATCCTTCCAGCTGCTGCAGAATTGAATGTTGCCACTTTGCTGCGAATTCTCTGCATTCCTGACTGTTACAGCATTGCTATTAACCACAAAATGCCTACTTTCCCCGCAAAGAGGAAGATTGATCACAGAAAGCAGAGATTTCCATGCGGGGTATGTTGGGGATGAGAGGCGAGGTAGTGATGAGGTTATTTGAAGGTTGAAGGTCCATTAAAAGGTCACTCACTGTAACTCAAGGACAGATTCCTACAATGCTAATGTTCCCCATTAGTGCCAGAGAGAGCTTTTTCAGCACCCCCTCCAAAGAACAGGCCCTCCGTGCTCTTCACTTAAAATATTTTAGTTCACTTTGCAAGAAACAGTTGCCTGCTTTCTGACCTGTAACTCTTCAGGCCTGGGATAGCAAGCTGTCTTCAGACCGATGGTAATTGCTCTGGTTGGCAGGTGCTGGGAGGCTGTCTTCCCCAGGGACAGTGTTGGCAGCAGTGTCTACAATATGACAAACATAATTATTTGGCTTTTGAACTTGAAGGCACAATTTACAAGTGACTCCAAATTCAGAGACAGTCCTGTTACAGAGGATAAAGGTGAGACTTTGCAGGAAGGCGTTAGTAAAATTGCAAAATGGAGTCGCTAAATAATACGTTGGTATTGGTGATACTTTCATCAAGCGGGAGCAAAGAAGCCATTTACACTCAGAACATTTATTGAAATGAGATGGAGTTGAGGAACCTGGAGGTTACCAGTGTAGTTACAGGTCGTTAAAAGTAGTGAAGGCAGATTGACAAGGCCAGTTTAAAAGGTCAGGAAAGTACTGGAGTTCATTTTGGGATGAATAGAATTGAAACTTTGGTTAGATGACACTACGTACTGCTCACAGCTCTGGTCTCCATATTCCAAAAAGACACTGGAGAAGCTGCTGAAAGAACTGTAAAGGTGATATCAAAATTGCAAGGTTACCTTATCAGAAAGGTAACAGCCTAGTGGTATTATTGTTAGACTATTAATCCAGAGACCCAATAATGTTCTGGGAACTGAGTTCAAATCTTGCCATGGTAGGTGGTAGAACTTGAATTCAGTTTAAAAAAATTAATGGAATGAAGGGTCTAATGATGACCTTGAAACCAGTGTCAGTTGTCAGAAGTACTCATGTGGTTCACAAATGTGCTTTAGAGAACATACCTTCAGGGCTACATGTGACTCCAGACCCACAGCAATGTGGTTGACTCTTAACTGCCCTCTGGGCAATTAGGAATGGGCTATAAATGCTGCCTAGCCAGTGACACCCTCATCCTGTGAATTAATTTTTTTTTAAAAGATCTGGTTGAGGGTTTTCAATATTATGAGGGGATTTGATGTGAGATAATTGAAAGCTGGAGGTAATAAATAAACAATTGTTTCTAATCAGTTTGTAGAATCATAGAGTACAGAAGAGGCTCTTCAGCCCATCATGTCTGTATTACCAAAGCTAAACTAAATCTGCACCAGTCCCACTTTCCAGCACTTGGCCTATAGCCTTCAACTGGGAGAAATCTCTTCACCCAGGGAATAGTGACAATATAGAGCTTTGTACGGGGAGTGATTGAAGTGAATCATTTCTGAAGAAGGGTCTAGGCCCGAAACGTCAGCCTTCCTGCTCCTCTGATGCTGCTTGGCCTGCTGTGTTCATTCAGCTCTACACCTTGTTATCTCATGAAGTGAATAATGTAATTGTATTTAAAGGCAAACTCGACTAATGTGTGGGGGGAAAAAGGAGTAAAGAGTTATGCTGGTGGATTTAGATAAGAATGGATGGGAAATATGAACATGGCATGGGTTGGATGGGCAGAATCACCTGTTTATTTAACTGTGTCCCCTGTGTAACTGTTGTTCACCACTCTCTTTTTACGTATTGGTAAACCTGGTTTGCTCTCTCTCCATGACTGTCCATTGCTCTCATTCCTTCATGCATGTTGTTCCTCGTTACGGCTATATGTTGTTATTCACCCCCCTGTGAATTAATTTGAAACCTGCCCCATCCTCACTAGGGAACCTGCTGGTCAGGATGCTGGTCCCAGTCTTGTTGAGATGCAAGCCATTCCTTTTGGAGATCTGCATCTAGTCCCAGTGCCCCAAGAGTCTGAAGCCATCACTTTTGCATCCTGTTTCAAGGACCACAATCACATCTCCTCTACCCTATCCTCAGCATCTTCCTATCTCTAATCTGTTAATCCTGGTACTGGGAACAATTAGATTATTAACCTCAAACTCCTACTTTTTAAACTTCCTCCCTAACTCCTGGAAAATCCCGCTGTATGACCTTGATATGTCTTCTTTCTGTGTGCTTGATATTAATGTGTCCCACAACTTCTGGCTCACCCCCAACATGCATGTGCTGTTGATTGCTAACTGTCTTGCTCCCACGTGCACACGCTCTCTCTCTCACTCTACCTTGCCGCCAGAAAAGGTGATACACCACACAGGAAGGAGTCACTGTGACACTTGCACCATTGCCAGTCTGGCCCCCTCATGTGGAACCTCATAACTGCAATATTTTTACAATTTCTCTGGCACAGTCCCTCGTCAGTGGTTCCATGGTCTACACTGCACACCTTTAGGGTATTGTCTCTAATACTCTGTATCTGTTTGAGAGTGGCACACACTCTGACGAGTCATGTATTTACTGTAGCTAATGTCCTCCTGGAGACCACCCACCTCCTATCCTGACCTGTCACTGCCTGTGAAGTGACCAATTCCTGCAGCTTATGATCCAGGAAACACTCATCTTTCCTGATCCTCTGCACTGACTCCACCTCACGCTGTTGCTGAGAAACCCTGAGCCCAAGGTGGAGACACTTCCGACAGTTGTCATCTCCCAAGTCACATAGAGTGCCTTCAAGTTCCCACAAATGGGCAGGAATTGTAAGATTAGGTCTCAGCAGCCCAGCAATGATGCAAGCAAAGAATCATCAACTATCCTTCGTAATCCAACTTGTGCCTTCCAGAAACAATTAATTTTTAGTCGTCTGTGAAGAGAAAATCAGAGTTAACCTTCTGAGGAAGGGCCACCAGACCCGAAACATTAACTCTGATTTTCTCTTCACAGATGCTGCCAGACCTGCTGAGCTTTTCCAGCAACTTCTGTTTTTGTTCATGATTGATAGCATCCGCAGTTCTTTTGGTTTTTAATTTTTAGTCATGTCTCACAATCTGAAAACTCTTAATTCATTATTATTTTAGTACTCGACCCAGTTGGACTGTTACTTCTAAAAATAAGTTGCAAATCTTGTTCAGTGCCTTAGTTTGCTGGTGCAAGTTTAAACCACAGTCCACTTTTAGAGAGAAATAAAAATGTGCTAAAACTACATCAGCCTGCTGCTATTGTCTGTCACTCGTTTTAGAAAGCCCCAGAGCAGCTCTGCTGTTGCCCCTGCTCTGATCACTTAGTCACCTGTTGCTGTCACTGTCATCTGCTTCCTCACTCTGACCGTTTCTTGCTTAATGAACATCACCTCTTCACTCTCAGCTTGAAAAACCCACAGCAGGTCTGGCAGCCATCTGTGGAGAGAGAAACAGAGTTAACGTTTTGAGTCCAGTGACCCTTGTTCTGAAGAAGACATTAACTTGTACGTTTCTCCACAGATGCTGCTGAGCTTTGTGTTTATTTCAGATTTCCAGCATCCATAGTGTTTTGCCTTTATAAGAATTTATGTTCTTTGAGCCTTTCCTGCCATTCAGTAGGATCATCACTGACAGTTCACTTCTAATATGACACTCGGTTCTGGAATTGGTTGTTGACTGAAGAGGAAGTAATGGTAAATGAGGCTGTGAACTGACAGTCACAATCTCTGGAGTTGTCGACAAGTAACAGAAGCATACCTGGGTGAAATTCCCTAACAATCTCGGCATGCTTCTGTCCAGTCAGCGGAGCCCCTTCTCCAACTTTAATCCTGGAGTCTGACTTCTGACTTCTACTGAAGGGAAAAGGGTGGGGGGGGGGGGGGGGGGGGGGAGGGGGGGGTTGCGTTACTGGGTTAATCCTGGAGTCTGACTTCAGTTACTGAAGGGAAAAGGGGGAAGTTACTGGTTTAATCCTGATGCCTGCAATAGCTGAACTGGTATTGTTTCCCTTTATGTAGGCGTGTTCGATCCAGCTCTAATTGGAGACAAGCCCAAGTGGTATGCCCATCAGCTTCAGCCCATTTACTACCGTGTCTATGATAGTAACTCGCAGCTTGCCGAGGCCCTTAACATTCCCATCGAGAAGGACGATGGCTCAGAACCCACAGATGACAGGTTTGTGTGAATGGCAATGTTAGTCCCTTTTCCTTTGCTCATTCTGCTTTTATGTGAAGCCCCACTGAGGAGATTAGCCTGCTGACTTGCCCAAGAATTCTCTTTACACAAAATTCAAAACCACCCGAAGATAGACGGGGAGAAATAAAAACGTTGGTATTCAACATGGAGGGCTGCAGCTGTGGTGACAGTCTTCAGTCAGTTGAAGATTGATAATCCCCTGCCATTCCCAACACAGCACCACTCAATGAATACCCTTTCCCAGCCTATTCCTTCAGCATACAATGATCTCTGTCTCAGCCACTTCTCCATAAGATAACATAATCTAAAGTGTATGCTACACAATGCCACTTGTTCTTTCAGTTGCAAAAATTGTGTTGATATTCTTAGCCATGTGGCAGGGTCTAACTTCCATTCTCCAGTTCATAGTACAAATGTTGGGAGCAAAAGTGGCCCTTTATGTAACTTTAAGTGAAGTGTGACTTTCCATAGGATTTAGTGCTAAACCCAGCAGACTATTTTCGCTCAAAAGTCAACGTGCAGGTTGAACCATAAATGCGCAGCACTGTGTATTCCTAGCTGAAATAACACTCAAAGTGAATCACTAAACATAAAAGGTACAGTTCAGTACTTCAAAAAAAACTGCAAAACACTATTAAGCTGAATTAGCATCTTAAATGCATACACTCATAAGTAAAATAATTTTTGAAATGAAATAATTTAAAATAAAAAGGAACGGAATATCAATGTAATTACTATAAATGCTAAAACTAAGCTGTTGAAGCTTTGATTGACCAGGCTCCATCTAGTGGCAGAATGTGGTCAGCGGAGGCTGAAGTACCTGCACCAACCAGCCTTTGCCAGTAGGTGGAGCCCAGGCCTTCAATGCACGTTCGGAATGGCAGGCAGAATAGAAATGGAGCATGGAGACTTTGAAGGTAAGGGCACAAGGTGGGAGTGGAAGACTAAGGGGGCGTTGGAGACAGTGAAGAGGGACTGAGTACAGGGACAGGAGCTGGAAGAAGACTGAGTTCAGGAATGGAAGAATGTGGAAAATGTCTAGAGAGCAGGCAGTAAATCTGTACCAAACAATGCAATGTTAAACAAATATATTATAATTTTGTTAGTAACATTATAGTAAGATTTTAACTGTCAACGTTAAATGTTGACCTATTGTACAAAGAAAATGAAAGAACTGTGGATGTTCAAAATTGGAAGCAAAAACAGAAATTGCTGGGAAAACTTAGGTTCAGCAGCATCTGTGGAGAGAAAACAGAATTACTGTCTTGGATCCAGTGATGACTCTTCAGAACTGATTTTAGCTGGGCCCTAAAATGATTGACCTCAGTATTGAGTCCCAAAGGCTGCAGAGGGCCAACGCCACACAGAGATTTTTAAATGAAACATTTTGTGGACAAGGAGCTGATGCATCCAGTGAACGGTGGGAGATGGTTTGACTGGACTTGGTGTAAGCTCGGATGTGCATGACAGAAGCTTGGATGAACTGTTGTCACTGTGATCACTGTTGACCTGGACTCAGCGGGTCTGACTATTGATTTTCCAATTAGTGACCTTTTGTCTTCACTCTCTTTGGCTCTGTTTTTGTTTTGAAATGGTGTTGTCTCATTGGCTCTCCCTGGCCTAGAAAATATGATCTGAAGTGTTAACTGACTCCCTTTCTCCACAGACGGTGCCTGGATCAGAATGACTTTGCTTTGCATGGCACTGTGCTGCTAACTCTCGTGTCTCTCTCACATCAGGGAGGGGGAGAGTTACCTGAATGCTGCATTTCAGGGGGCAGTCACACCCCTTAGATTAACTACCTCAAATGCAGTCAGTGGTCAGGGCCAGGATGGTGTGACTATGAGCATGGCAGATAGAGTGATCCAGGAGACAGTGCTGAAGGAGCCTCAGCCCTTGAGCTTATCCTGCAGGTTTATGAATCTTGCTCTCTGTGTGGATGAGGGTTGGGCTGTAGGGAGGATGAGCAAACTGACCATAGCACCGTGGCACAGGGAGACATTCAGTAGGGGGTTGAAAAGAGAAATGATGTTATTGGGATAGTACAGTCAGGGGAATACACACTGTTCTCTGTAGCCAGGATCGAGAGTCCCGAAGGCCGTGCTATTTGCCTGGTGCATGGGCAGAGGAACTTTCTTTTAATTCGTTCACATAATGAGGGCGTAACTGGCTAGGCCAGTATTTATTGCCAAAACCTAACTACCCATTAAGGATCAGCCACATTATTATGGGTTTGGAGTCACATGTAGGCCAGACCAGGTAAGGGTGGCAGTTTAGATTAGTGAACTAATGGGTTTCTCAGATGATCAACAATGGCTTCCACCATCTGTCATAGTTGGCTTCAAACCTGTGTCCCCAGACGTTACCTGGGTCTATGGATTAACAGTCTGATGATGATGCCATTAATTTCGAGTGGGAGAGGAAAGATCTTGTTGTTGTGGTGGTCCACACAGAAAGAGGAAGGAGGTTCTGCTGAGGGAATATGAGCAGCTAGGGGCTAAATTAAGAAGCAGAACCACAAATGTGCTAACAAGCAAATTGGCACAGGAGGAGCAAGAAAGTTTGGCTTTAAGATTGGTTTGGGAGAAATAGGTTTGAATTCATGGGACACTGGCACCAGTACTGGGGAAGGAAGGTGCAATTCTGATGGGGTGGGCTCTACCAGAGTCCTGGCAAATTGCATAACTGCAGCTATGGATAGGGTTTTAAATTAAAGTTGCAGGGGTGATGGGTTCAGTTGCATGGAAAAGTATGGAAAAAGTTAAAGGTGGGGAGGGCTCAGCAGATGTTACTAACAGTGCAAGTCATAGGAAAGAGAGTATACAAAGGGTCAGGAGTCTAACTTCAGGCGGAGCAGATAAGGAGACAGCGATGAGAAGTGGGGTGCAGTCAACATAGGAATGAGGATGCCGTGCTTAAATGCATATATTTTATGAAACCAGGTTAAATGGACATGTAGCACAGATTAAAATTGGTGGATATTATGTAGGTTTCACAGTCATGTGACTGCAAGGGGATCAGGTTTGGGAACTAAATATCCAAGGTTGCACAACCTATTGAAAGGACAGGTGGAGGGATGGGTAGAATGTCTTGTTACAAAGAAATAGAACATAGAACATAGAACAGCACAGGCCCTTCAGCCCATGATGTTGTGCCGACCTATTATCCTACTAAGATCAAACTACCCTGCATACCCTACATTTTACTATTCTCCATGTGCCTGTCCAAGAGTCACTTAAAAGTCTCTAAAGTATCTGACTCCACTACCATTGCCGTCAGCACATTCCACACACCCACCACTCTCTGTGTAAAGAATGAATCTAAATTGATAACAAGAAGTGATACAGTGATATAGAATCAGAAAGTGTGGAAATTCTGTAGGTAGAGTTGAGTAACCACAAAGGGAAAAGGACCGTGAGGCATCAGGTTTCCTATTACTGGGTCAAAAATCACACGACACCAGGTTATGCTACAACGGGTTTATTTGAAAACACAAGCTTTCGAAGCTCTGCTCCTTCCTCCACACTACACCTGTGGAAGGAGCAGAGCTACAAAAGCTAGTGTTTTCAAATAAACCTGTTGGACTATAACTTGGTGTCGTGTGATTTTTGACCTTGTCCACCCCAGTCCAATTCCGGAACCTCCATATCACTTCTATTGCTAGTCAGGATATGGGGAAGAAAATAAATCAGGAGATAAAAGAAAGGCATGTAAGAAAGACAGTATTACAATAATCACGGGGAGTGTCAATATGCAGGTGGATTGAAAAAAATCAGGTTGGTAGTGGGTCTCAAGAAAAAGAATTTGTGGAATGTCTACAATATGGTTTTTTTTTTTTTTGAAGCAGTTTGTCGCAGGTCCTACAATGAAACAGCCCATTCTGGTGATGTGGAATGAGGCAGACATAAATAGGGAGCTAAAGGTGAAGGAACCGTCAGGGGGCAGTGACCATAATATGGTAGAATTTCCCCTGCAGTTTGAGAGGGGGAAGCTGCAATCAGATGTAACAGTATTACAGTTGATAAAGGTAACTATAAAAGGTGGAGCTGGTCAGAGGTGATTGGAAGGGGAGCCTAGCAGGGAAGACAGTGGAGCAGCAATGGCAGGAGTTTCTGGGGGTAATTCGGGAGGCACAGCAGAAATTCACCCCTAGGAAGAAATAACATTCTGAGAGGAGGATGAGGCAGCCATGGCTAACAAGGAAAGTCAGGGACAGGATAAAAGCAAAAGGAAAAGCATAATGTGAATATTAATGGGAAGCCAGAGGATTGGTAAGCATTTTAAAAACCAGCAGAGGATAACATTTTTAAAAAAAAGCAATAAAGGGGGAGAGGTGAGTGTTGCGGCCATGAAGGAGAAGGTGCTGGAGAAGCTGAAAGGTCTGAAGGTGGATCTATCACCCAGTGTTCTGAAAGACATAACTGTGGAGGCATTGGTGGTGATCTGTCAGGAATTACTGGAGTTGGTGAGGATGCTAGGTGACTGTAGAATGACTAATGTAACACTTCTATTTAAGAAGAGAGGGAGACAGAAGACAGGGAACTATAGACTAGTTAGCCTGGCCTGGTAAGATATTAGAGGCTCTTATTCAGGATGAGAGTGCGGAGTACTTAGAAGTGCATGGTAAAATAGGGTGGAGACAGAACGGCTTTGTCAAGTGGTGGCCATGCATGATAAATCTGTTAGAATTGTTTGAGGAGGTAACAAACAAGTTGTACAAAGAAAAGACAGTGCATGTGATCCATTTGGATTTCCACAAAACCTTTGACAAGGTGCTGCACAGGAGACTGCTAAATAAGAGCCCATGGTGTTAGGGGTAAGGTATGGGCATGGATAGAGGACTGGCTGACTGGCAGAAGACAAAGTACGGGTAAAGGGGTCTTACCAGATAGTAGCTGGTGACGAGTGGAATTCCATAGGGGTCTGCATTGGGACAATAACTATTCACATTATACTTTAATGATCTGGCCAAAGGAACTGAGGGCATTGTTGCTATGTTTGCAGATGACACAAAGTGGAGGGACAGGTAGTGTTAAGGAAGTGGGAAGACTTCAGAAGGTCTTGCACAGGCTAGGAGAGTGGGCAAAGAAGTAACAGATGGAATACGGTATGGGAAAGTGTAACTTTATGCATTTCGGTAGGAAGAATAGAGATATGGACTATTTTCTAAATGGGAAAAGGCTTTGGAATCTGAAGCACAAAGGGACTTGGGAGTCCTAGTTCAGGATTCTCTTAAGGTTAACGTGCAAGTTCATTTGGCTGTTAGGAAGGCAGATGCAATGTTATCATTCATTTCAAGACGGCTAGAATATAAGAGCAGGGATGTATTGCTGAGGCTGTATAAGGCTCTGGTCAGACCACAATTGGAATATCGTGAGCAGTTTTGGGCCCCAAATCTAATGAAAGATGTGCTGGCATTAGAGGGGCTCCAGAGGGTTTTTACAAGAATAATCCTGGGGATAAAGGGCTTGTGATATGAGGGGCGGTTGAGGACTTTGAGTTTACGAGGATGGGGGTGGGAGGGTGATCTCACTGAAACTTACAGAACACTGAGATGTCTAGATAGAGTGGACATGGAGAAGATATTTCCATTAGGAGGAGAGACGAGAACCTGAGGGCACAGCCTCGGTGAAGGGAAAGCCCTTTAGTAGTGAAATGGGGAGGAATTCCCTCAGCATGAGGGTGCTGGAACTCATTGCTGCTGATAGCTGTGGAGGCCAATCATTGAATGTATTTAAGACAGAAAAGTTCTTGACTAGTAAGGGGATCAAGAGTTACGGGGCAGGAGAATGGGCTTGAGAAATACATCAGCCATGATTGAATGGCGGTGCAGATTCAATGGGCTGAATGGCCTAATTCTGCTCATATATTTATGCTTTTATGGTCTCTTCCAGTGGCAGCGACAGCGTGGAGTACAACGACTCCAGCTCTTCCTACTCGTCCCTGGGTGACTTTGTGAGCGAGATGATGAAGTGTGACATCAAAGGAGACACACCTAGTGAGTATCCAGTGTGACTGTGTTAATGTCTGTGTGCACAGCCATTCTCTGGGATAGTGGGCCCTCTGCACCACTGCTGCTTTGGAGCTGCATGCTTATCATGTGCTGCGCAAGCACTGTGTTGGTATATTTTCCTATTCGAAGCACACAGTGCCAGTTGCCAGCCTGCCTTAGAGGTGGCATGCTCCTGGAATTACCAGAAGGATCCTGCAAAGGCCCAGACTAATGCTATGGGGACACAGGTTTGAATCCCACAACAGCAACTGGGAGAAATTGAGTTCACTTGACCGATAAATTTGGAATTCTAAGCCAGTCTCTGGAATGGTGAGTGTGAAACTAGTGGCTCGTTCTGAAATGCTCTCTGGTTCACTAATGCCCCTCAGGGAAGGAAACTTGCTGTGCTTACCTGGACTGGCCTATAGTTTCAGATGATATGGTTGACTCCAGGCTGTGAATGGGCCAAAAGTAGACACCTAGAATCAACAGCAAGTCACTATGCCCTTGTGGGTTCCCAGCATAGTCAGTTGGCTCCTGCGATCGGTCGGTCAGTGTGGCTCCTACGGTCAGTCGGTCGGTCAGTCAGTGTGGCTCCTACGGTCGGTCGGTCGGTCAGTGTGGCTCCTACGTTTAGTCGGTCAGTGTGGCTCCTACAGCCAGTCGGTCGGTCAGTATGGCTCCTACGGTCAGTCGGTCGGTCAGTGTGGTTCCTGCGGTCAGTCGGTCGGTCAGTCGGTCAGTGTGGCTCCTGCGGTCAGTCAGTCGGTTGGTCAGCGTAGCTCCTGCGGTCGGTCGGTCAGTGTGGCTCCTGCAGTCAGTTGGTCGGTTGGTCAGCGTGTTTCCTGCGGTCAGTCGGTCAGTGTGGCTGCTACGGTCGGTTGGTCAGTGTGACTCCTGTGGTCGGTCAGTCAGTGTGGCTCCTGCGATCAGTCGGTCAGTGTGGCTCTTATGGTCAGTCGGTTGGTCAGTGTGGCTCCTGCGGTCAGTCAGTCGGTCAGCGTAGCTCCTGCGGTCAGTCGGTCGGTTGGTCAGTGTGGCTCCTGCAGTCAGTTGGTCGGTTGGTCAGCATGGTTCCTGCGGTCAGTCGGTCAGTGTGGCTGCTACGGTCGGTCGGTCGGTCAGTGTGACTCCTGTGGTCAGTCGGTCAGTGTGGCTCTTTATGGTCAGTCGGTTGGTCAGTGTGGCTCCTGCGGTCAGTCAGTCGGTCAGCGTGGCTCCGGTGGTCAGTCGGTCGGTTGGTCAGTGTGGCTCCTGCGGTCAGTTGGTCGGTCGGTCAGTGTGACTCCTGCGGTCAGTTGGTCGGTCAGTATGGCTCCCGCGGTAGGTCAGTCGGTCAGCGTGGCTCCTGCAGTCATCGGTCGGTCAGCGTGGCTCCTGCGGTCAGTTGGTCGGTCGGTCAGCGTGGCTCCTGCGGTCAGTCGGTCAGTCGGTCGGTCGGTCAGCGTGGCTCCTGTGGTCAGTCGGTCGGCGTGGCTCCTGCGGTCAGTCGGTCAGTGTGGCTCCTATGGTCAGTTGGTCAGTGTGGTTCCTGCGGTCAGTCAGTCGGTCAGTGTGGTTCCTGCAGTCAGTCGGTTGGTCAGTATGCGGCCAGCTGTTCTCCCTCTGTGTGCGTGGCCTGTGCTTAAACAAGCTGCTGTTATTGCAGATGTCGACCCTCCCAGCCATGCTGCCCTTGGTGATCCCAGCGAAATTGAGTTCCAGGGATTTCAGAAATATCGGGAGGATCTGGATGACCAGGGGCCGGACAGTGAGAATTCCCTGGACAACAATCCTCCCCGCTCCAGCTCCAGTACGACAGCCAGCAGCAGTCCCAGCACAGTCATACAGGGCACCAACCATGTAAGTTTACATAATGGCGACAATTTTCCTTCACTCCAATGCCCATGTTGTGCCACTGTGCAACTGCCTGTCTTTGTCGCTTGGGTGTTGTCTGCCACTTACTCTCTGTTCGTCCTCCATGCCCCTTCTCAGCCACACAGCCTCCTCCCATAAAGTGCGAGTGATCACCCTCCCCCCTCCTACAGTGGCCCCCCTCCATATTTCCTGCCTGTGGTGATCCTGGTGTTCCCTGTGGTGGTCTCTATCTCCACCCCCACCACTCCCCCTTGGCACTGAGCCCTCTCAGAATTGTCCCTCACTCTGCCTCAGGAGCTGACCATTGATTTGCTCCTTGGCGGGCGGTTGAGTAGGGGTGACCCTGTGTCCAAGGGTGGTGTTGGGGATGTGTGGTGACACGGGTGTGAGGAGAGGGAGGTGTGGTGGGTGGCAGTTGTTCTCATGTTTGGGCCAGGGTATCAGCCCTGGGCTGAAGCTCTTACTGAGTGCCACCTTTGATTGGTCCAGCAGGAGTCCATTGATTCGACAGAGGCGGAGGAGAAAACACTGACTTTCCACAACCATATCTCAGCGGTGTCCATCCAGGCCTTTGCCAAAGCCAGCCTGGAGCGGAGGGAGAATGATGGGATGTTGGAGGGGCCAGTCCGCCAGCGAGACTATGAGAACCCATACTTTGAACCTCAGTACGGTTTCCCCACAGAGGACGAGGAAGACGAACAGGGGGAGAGCTACACGCCACACTTTGCTCAGAACATGAATGACAGCCGGTGAGATTTCAGGCTGACCATTGAAACCTCGCCCAATGCCCCTTTTTCACTGTGACTGCTGTGCAGGGTGGCTGCAGGACTGCACTAAGGGCAACACAGTGAACATGGGGAGCTGTGGTACAGCCTGTTTACAAGGCATTGGTATTCACCCAGTCCAGTGCTCCCAGTAATTCATACAGCAAGTCAGGAGGTTGCTTTGATGGAGACAGTGCCTCTGGGTGAAGGTGTGCCTGGGAGCGGGGGGTTCTCTGCCTCTGGGTGAGGGTGTGTCTGGGATGGGGGGGGTGGTGGAGGGGGGAGCGGGATCTGTATCTCTGGGTGAGGGTGGATTGGGGAGCTGTGCCTCGGGTAGAGGCACCTCCAGGTGAATGCAGGTTGGGGCACACCTATTGCACGCACATTGGAAAATGGGGAGAAGGTGTGAGAGAAAGCCGATCCAGGCGCTGGGAAGGGTTATGGGTGAGAATGAGGGTCACACCTGGGCACAGAGAGGGAGCCGAGGGTGAGTCATGTCTAGATGCTGGGAGGGGTCGAGGGCATGGGTCGTGCCCGGTCACAGCAAGTGAGTGGTGGAGCACACCTGAGGAGCTGTGTCGGTGGACTGGCAGTATGGGGACCATGGCAGTGTCATAGCCTCCAGTTTCATACTGCCCTGTGTGCAGTCAGCAGTTTGAAGGTTACAAAGGGCCAAATTTAACTGGCCTTGCTACGTGGGCTGACCCAACTGTAGTTTCTTTTCAATGTACTGCGATAACCTGGGTTTGATTAGCTACATTTTTGTGTATTGTTCATATCCTAAAAGACCTGCCTCAGGTCCAGTGCTGGCGTCATAATAATGTCGCTGAATTGGTAATCCAGAACCTCAGGCTAATATTCTTGGGCCAGGAAATGGCAGTTAGAAGTAAGATTTTTTGTTAATCTGGAAAGAAAAGCATCCATGGAAACCATGTAATTATTGTCAGTTGTCATTTTAGAAAGGGCATCTAGTTCACCAACGTCCTTCAGGAAGGGAAATTGGCCAACCTTGCCTGGTCTGGCCTACATGTGACTCCAGACTCTCAGCAACATGGTTGACTCTGAACTGCCCTCTGGGCAATTAGATATGGGCAATAAATGTTGGCCTAGTCAACACATTGTGGAGCTGGAGGAACACAGCAGGTCAGGCAGCATCAAAGGAGCAGGAAAGTCAACGTTTCAGGTCAGGACCCTTCTGCTGGCCTAGCTAGTAAAGCCCAGATCCTGTCAATAAATAATTAAAAATAACCTGCTCAAAGTTTTTGAGAAGATTTGTAGCTCGAGTTGTGGATGAGGTTGTAGACTTGCTCGCTGAGCCGGTGTGTTTGGTTGCAGACATTTCGTCATCCTGCTAGGTAACATCGTCAGTGCGCCTCTGGTAAAGCATTGGTGTTCTGTCCCCCTTGTTATTTATATGCCTCGGTTTGCTGGGATGGTTGGCATCGCTTTCGGTTCTGTTTTTTAGTGGTTTGTATATTGGGTCCAGTTCAATATGTTTATTGATGGAGTTCCGGTTGGAATGTCAGGCCTCCAGGAATTCCTGGCATGTCTCTGTGTGGCTTGTGCAATTATGGATGTGTTGTCCCAGTGGAATTCATGTCCTTCTTTGTCCGTGTGTACTGAGACCAGTGAGAATCGTGTCTCTTGGTGGTTAGTCGGTGTTCGTGTATCCTTATTGTCAGTTTTCTTCCAGTTTGGCCTATGTCATGTTTCTGTCAGTCTTTGCATGGTATGTTGTATATTATTGAATCCGAGATAGTAGGAACTGCAGATGCTGGTGAATCCGAGACAACAAGGTGCAGGGCTGGATGAACACAGCAGGCCAAGCAGCATCATAGGAGCAGAGAGGCTGACATTTCGGGCCTAGACCCTTCAACAGAAAAGGGGGAGGGGAAGGGGGTTCTGAAATAAATAGGGAGAAAGTGGGAGGCGGATAGAAGATGGATAGAGGAGAGGATAGGTGGAGAGGAAACAAACAGGTCGAAGAGGCGGGGATGGGGCCAGTAAAGGTGAGTGTAGGTGGGGAGTTAGGGAGGGGATAGGTCAGTCCAGGGAGGACGGACAGGTCAAGGGGGCGGGATGAGGTTAGTCGGTAGGAGATGGAGGTGCGGCTTGAGGTGGGAGGAGGGGATAGGTGGGAGGAAGAACAGGTTAGGGAGGCAGGGACGAGCTGGACTGGTTTTGGGATGCGGTAGGGGGAGGGGAGATTTTGAAACTTGTGAAATCCACATTGATACCATTGGGCTGCAGGGTTCCCAAGCGGAATATGAGTTGCTGTTCCTGCAACCCTCGGGTGGCATCGTTGTGGCACTGCAGGAGGCCCAGGATGGACATGTCATCTGAGGAATGGGAGGGGGAGTTGAAATGGTTCGCGACTGGGAGGTGCAGTTGTTTATTGCGACCTGAGCGTAGGTGTTCTGCAAAGCAGTCCCCGAGCCTCCGCTTGGTTTCCCCGATGTAGAGGAAGCCACACCGGGTACAGCGGATGCAGTATACCACATTGGCAGATGTGCAGGTGAACATTGCTTGATGTGGAAAGTCTTCTTGGGGCCTGGGATGGGGGTGAGGGAGGAGGTATGGGGGCAGGTGTAGCACTTCCTGCGGTTGCAGGGAAAAGTGCCGGGTGTGGTGGAGCTGGAGGGGAGTGTGGAGCGGACAAGGGAGTCACGGAGGGAGTGGTCCCTCCGGAAAGCCGATAAGGGTGGGGAGGGAAAGATGTCTTTGGTGGTGGAGTCGGATTGCAGATGGCGGAAGTGTCGGAGGATGATGCGTTGGATCCGGAGGTTGGTGGGGTGGAACGTGAGGATGAGGAAGATTCTTTTTTGGTTGTTATTGCGTGGACGGGGTGTGAGGGATGAG